CTCTGTAGCCAGAAAAAAAAAAATTCTTTCTAATGATATAGTTAGAAGTGTTGTAGTGGAATATGCTGAAGTCGTTTCTCCTGGACAGGTATATATGTTTCACATTGAGGAAGACAGAACTTAGCTGGCTCACTTCTGACGAGGTCGAAGGCATTTTTATGAAGGAGACCTGTAACATACGGAGTGTATATTGTGTACTTTGGCTGTCTGATGACGCTAACTTAGTGAGAAATCCTCAGTGTGGAAGAAGCTGTTAAATGCTCAGGAGTGAAAACGAGTGCAGGTGAAGAGCTTCATTCACGCCAGGGTAGTGGTGGTGTCACTGCGAAATATGGTTCTGCAATGATGGTAGCTTATGGTCTCGGTCAGTACTTGTTACCTTGGCTTCCACAAATGAGAGGAAGGACATTTAAGACCCAAACAAGTCTGAAGATTAACAATTTATGCCTGAGAGCCTTTGAGTATTAAACTGTTTTTTGCATTTGTTAACCTTGCAGCAGTTTTCTTTGTAGTTGTGTGGAACGCAGATTATTCTGTGGCTGCCATCAGTGGGCCAAGCTCAGGCGTAGTATTCCAGTTTAAGTGCCTGACCAGCTTTTCAACTAAAATTGTATGTTGGGAAAGCTGAGGGTTTAGTAGAAGGAATTGAAGTATTTCAGGACCTCATCTCTGCAGACCTAGTGCTGTCAGAAAACATTTCTGGAGCTGTTCTGAGGAGGCCTAGGCTGAAATTAGTGAACAGTTACACCTTTGCCTAGATACACTTGAAGTGTGAACGTGTAAACGTTCATGAACAGCTAATGTTAAATAACTGTTGAAATAGCAGAAGGTAAATTAAGCCTACTACAGCTTAATTCCTTCAGTTGTAAGCTGTGCTTCAGGGGCAGACTTCTGTGCTTGTAATTACGCACTGTCTAAAAAGTGTATTTGCTTTTCAATGTCACTGAAAGCAGTGCTATTCTGAGTGCTAGAATAAGTAGAAGTGTGCACCTCTGCCATCGTGCATGTTTTATGTTTTCATATTTGGTCCTGTTCCCTTCTTCTGTTAAGTCTCTTAAAGAAAGCCACCCCAGCTATTTTTACTTAAATGCTGCTGTAAATGCTGTGGCTGTTCTAGGCATATACTCTGTCAAACCAAGGTAGCCTTTTTAGAGAAGGGTAAAAGCTATTGGGGAATTAAAAGCTAAATAAAATGGAAGTTGAGGTTCCTGTTCTGCAGTAGAAATGCTCTGAGAGCATCTACAGTAATCTAATTGTAAGGGTTTAACGCACAGTCCTTGAGAGTAGTGACTAAACTGATTATAGCTGAGTCATGTGGTACCGGAGGTTTTTAGAAAATGGTTATTTGGGCTTTTTGTTTGTGAATAGCTGACATATTTTTGAAGAGTTAAAAAACTCCAAACAAACCCAACACTGTACCTTTCTTTTTTTTCTTTTTTTTTTTCCCCCCCCTCAGATCTAGATCAAGGAGGAGTTCCCGTAGACACTACACAAGATCCCGCTCTCGTTCCCGCTCTCATAGGAGATCCAGAAGTAGGTCTTACAGTCGGGATTATCGACGGCGACACAGCCACAGCCATTCACCCATGTCTACTCGCAGACGTCACATTGGAAACAGGGTATGTCTGTTACAGAAGCAGATGACTCATGCATAATCCTGAATACATCCTGAAATCACAGAACTAATTAATTGGAGTTTTCCAGGAAAACATTCTGCTTCCAGCTTGGGTCTGTTTAAAAGATACTGTTGAGGTTAATTGCCATTTCGCTTTTGGTAAACTGTGGCTTTCCATAACTTTGCTAAGGATTGTGGGGTGGGGGTGTCTTGGTTTTTAACAGAGGCTTTTAAAAATGCTAGCAGTGTAGGCTGTTGTCAGTGTAGCTGCTGTAATAAATGAGTGCATATATGTGATAAAGGATGGAGGTAGAATTAGGAGGGAGAGACATTTGTGTTTTGCTTGATTAGAAGGCCTGGGAAAGCAAAAACATTTCATTAAAAGCTGTTTTGATTATGTCTTTATTAAAAGAGCATACAAACCAGCTGGCTTTTAGCTGCTTTACAGACTCAGATGGCTGAGCACAGTGTGGTTCATGCTAACGAAGAGGGGGAAAGTGATAATTAACACAAATGAAGGTGTGATCCAGGCCTCTGTGTGTGTATGTATCTCCACATTCAACAGTTGTCAGCTAGCCTTTGGAGCAAAAACTTTTTTAAAATACAGTATCTATTATGTGCTGTAACCATATTTTGTATGGTATCCCAAGAAATGCAAAGTATTTTTGTGAAAGGAGATTTGTGTATCTGTAGATTTGATTGTAGTAGTGTCTATTAGCAAGTTAACCGAAGTTAATCATCTTGTTGTTTTGGCTTGAAGCTCTGACACTCACAACTTGTGAAATACCTTGTACTGCAAATACAAGCAATTTTACTCTACTGATTTTCTATCTGTCCCTTCCTTTAGGCAAATCCGGACCCAAATTGTTGTCTTGGGGTGTTTGGATTGAGTCTATACACCACAGAAAGAGATCTGAGAGAAGTTTTCTCCAAGTATGGTCCAATTGCTGATGTTTCCATTGTGTACGACCAGCAGTCTCGACGCTCAAGAGGATTTGCATTTGTGTACTTCGAAAATGTTGAGGATGCTAAGGAAGTAGGTTGGGGTACCGAATGTATATCATGCTTGCTGTGTTCTCAGTTGCTGGGATGTGTCTTCTCTAACAAGAAGCTTGCTGTTTGACCTTTAAAATGGTGTAGGAACCTTTAAAGTTAATTCCTTTTGCCTATGTGAAATAATCATAATGCAAGCTGGTCCACAGACTCGACTCTTCCCTGCCCTCTCAAGGCCTAAGAAATCCTTGGTATCTGATAATAAACATCAGAGTCTTAGTTCACTCAAAGATGATTACTGTGTACCAGAGGAGAGCGGAGGGGCAGGAATACTGGTCCCTGCACAGGCTGAGCTGTAATTCACAAAAGCAAACTTCAGGCTAGGCATACTGCATGCTACGCCAACAAGGAAAAGAAAATAGAAACACAGACTTCCTGTTTTAATTAGGAGATGAGAGTTCCTCCCTAACTCTGCATGTGATCTCAGATTTAATAACAGGAGTGTTCAGAGTGGACCAGACAGCCATTTCAGAGTTCTCTGTAGGAGGCTAACGTGCATTCTGTTGACTTCTAGTGCTCTAGACTGAAAGGGGAGGGAGAGGAGGAAATCTTTCCTGAAAATAAAAGGCCAGGCTTCCTGGTGCCTGTAAATGTCCATGGGAAACCTGAAGGGATTCAGTAAATTGAAGCAGTGTCAATACCATGTAACAAATTACGGGGTTTGTCCTTACAAGTGGTACAGAACGAACAGGGAATTCTGTACTTGGACCAGCCTAGAGCATTGTTCTTATGGGCAGGCTTATATTCTGCACAAATTCATCTACTTAGTCTCTAGTATCTTTTCCAAATTTGATGTGAAGGTTTCCATGTTAGGTTGGAGCTTTGGATGTAGATTCTGCTACTTGGCAGAAAAAGAAAAAAAATATTTTGAGGTTTTTGAACTTCAGACTTACTTATCACTCATATTCAATGTTGTAATAAGTTTTGAGGATATACTGGAGGAAAAAACGTAACAGTGCTATTTTGTTAACTTCAAAATGCTTTGCTTCATGTTGAGTATCAGAGTAGTTACAGCTCCATACATAAGCACGTTCAAAGGTTCCTCTTAATCATGTTAGAAACAGATATTGAAACAGTTGTTAAATTACATTCCTTTCAAGCTTTTTATGCAATGTAAGTCACATTTTAAGTGGTTACTGATGCTTGTACCCAGCTGGCCTAGAACGTCTTACAGTTTATGTTCAACATTACCTATAAGGCATAAGTGAAACTTAGGATGTACATCCTAACTGAGCCATTTTAGGACTTCTCTTAATACGTGAAGCAGTGGTTAGAAACTTGTGTTGGTAATAAAGTTCATAGCTACAGGTAATTGTATTGTATCACTCTGTTTAGGCAAAGGAACGTGCCAATGGAATGGAGCTGGATGGAAGAAGGATTCGGGTAGACTTCTCCATAACAAAAAGACCTCACACACCTACCCCTGGAATCTATATGGGAAGACCCACTTAGTAAGTGACCTCTGTGAGGTTTTTTCCAAACTAGTACAGAATAGGATTAATTGTCTTGTGTCTGTAAGAGACCTGATTTCTGTCTGGTTTTTTTTAATTAATCTTAATATCTTTCCATCTCTTTAGATGGGAGGGTTTAATTTATATAGCACTTGCCAGTGCTATATCTGGGGTCAGCGTGGATTAGTCACCAGAAACCTGTCTTCCTTAGTTATGTGGCCCAGACATGAGCTATTTACACATTTAAATACATCTTCAGTAAGCTTTTTTTGACAATTTCTAAGTTGTTGTCCTATGTACCATCAAATAGTAACATCTTTCTCAAGCTCAAGTTTTCAAGAGTGAATTAACAAATACTAATTGAGCAGCTGTGTGACAGTTTGCCCTATCCACAGACTACACTTTTGACTTAAAGCTGCCAAGAATGTCATTTCCCACCTGTTTTCCCAAGACTTTCGGCTTATGGTACTGGTGGATAAGTAGTTGGTGTTGTGTTGAGACTGCAGGTTTGTTTTTGTTTTTTTAATGGAAAGTTCTTTTAAAAGGAGCTTTCTGAGAGTTAAAAGTGAATGACGACTTGTCACAGAATAGAATTTCTCATGTGCCTGTGATACCAAAAGGTTAAGAGGTTTTAGACTGAGGAGGAAAGTAGCTGTCTTAAAGTTCAAGCATTTTAAAAAGCAATAATTTAAGTAGTTCTGTTCCCATCTGCACTGGTGGGAAAGTAGGAGTGTTAACAATCATTTCAACTGTGAGGATGTGAGGGAATGATATAACCCAGGTAAACTGGTGTATGTTTAACTTTCTGACTGCCTACTGAAAGCACTGAAAATGATGTTTTATATTTTATTAAATTCTCTTTCTTTAAAAAATTCTCTTTCACTACTTATAGTGGCAGCTCACGACGACGAGATTACTATGACAGAGGGTATGATAGAGGGTATGATGATCGTGACTATTACAGCAGATCATACAGGTGAGGTGATATTTGTAATATTCAGCTGCTTTGTAAACTGTTTTTTCTCATCTACATTTTTAACCATCCGACATATTTTTGCACTCACTGTCGTTCTGGAATCTTAGTATGAAATCTCTACCGAAATGACTGCTCAGTGCAAATCAGACTGAGAAATACTTTGTGATGTTTAACCAGTGGCATGAATTGGTCCATAATGTTTTTTTAATATGCATTAAGTTTTGAAAAACAAAGTATGTTCTCTATACTCTCATTTTAAAAGATTTTTTTTTTATTGGTTTGTCTGTTAGCATTGAAATGGTGGGAATACAGGTGCAGAAGTAATATTTGAGTTGGTGTTACAGTACCAACTTAGATTTTAAGCACAGTGTAGTGGACAAAAAATGGGAAATTTCAGTGGTTGCCAGTTTTCCCTACTAATAATTATGTCACCTCAAAAGTTGCCAAAAATAAGGAATTGATGGTTGGGACATGAGCTGTTCTGTATTGACATTTGCGTAAAAAAGCTTTTTTAAAACACTCTGTTGGGTTTGGATGCATGTGTTTTACTTGAAAGACTCACGCTCACCATTTCTGCCTGTCTTCTCTCTAAGCTTCTCTGTTTGACAGCATAATAATTAGCTGAAAGAGGTGAATATTCAGGTGGCAATACACATTTTCAGAGGGCTAGTAAAGTCAGTACAAAATCTGTTGAAAACATGGTTGGTATGTAATTGGTTTTGGTGATAGAGCAAGCTTGTCATCTGCGTTTTCCATTAAGACTGCCAACAAGACTTGTCCTCCCCTGTGAAATGCTCAAAGTTTCTGGGACACTATTAAGCTGGACACAAAGATAAGAGTTCATTTTTTTTTTTCTGTTGGCAATTACCAAATGTTCCCATAGTTGCAGAATTCTCTAGTAGTATTTCCCAAGTTGTTTGCAAAGCTTAAATGCATCAGCAGCAGGTAGATTTATGATTGTTCCCTAATGGCAACCATGTATTAATGGAAATACCTGAATTCAAATTGCATTATCACATTATAGCTCAAAGGAAATAATAAATTCTGTGATCTTAGCTTTCAGTGTACTCTTCTGTTGCTTTTTAGGCATAGAAAAAAATATACTTACCTTGATAGCTGTATGGTCATTGTTGGTGGCTGGGGGCAGCTGTCTCCTCCTTTCTGCCCTACTGCTTTCAGCCACTGTTTCCTCCTGAGACTGTTGGCATTGCTTCCAGTCTGTTTCTCCCCTCCCTGCCTTGCTGTTGTCTCTTAAATCAAGTCCCCGGCTTCTCTACTGCTTAATGGTGCTTTGGACAGTTAGGGCATCAAGGTGCTCTACATCACCACAGTGAAAACATGACACAGAAGTGTTCTGCTCCTGTTTCTGGGAAGCAGTCATTAGAGAACTTCCTTCTCTGCCTCTGACAGTCCCTTTTCTTGAAACATGAGTGGTTTGAAGGTTATGGAGAACTGCAGCAGCTAAAATCTGAAGTTGATACTGGGCATACCAGCACTGAGACATGTTGGGTTTCACTTTGCCAGCGCTTGTATGTAGACTTTCATAAACAAACGTCCAGTTTGTTTCAGAGGCACAAGGTACAATAACTTGCTTGGAATAGTTAACATAGTATCGTCTCACTTAATGTACTAAAAATAATTAACTGAAATCTGGTGGGTAAATTAACTGAAGCTGCTCACCAGAGTGTTGGGGAACAGAAAAGACTTGCAGCACAGCCTGTGAAGCAGTCTGTTATGTGGTGCTTCTAGCTTGCTTCTCCTGATTTCTGTTTTTGTGTATGGGATTCTGATGTAAACCAATCAAAACGGCAAAGGCATGTAAGGATCAGCAAAAGATGAGAATTTTACACCATCTGGTAAGAGTTTGACACCATCAGGCTGTCTTCTTGCACTGCTTCACAGTACAGATTCCTTATTCTTTCATTAAGGGTCAGTCAGGGCGTACTGGTCGTGCTTGAAATCTCTTGGTTGTTGCATGCGCGTTCTTCAAATGTCATTTATTCCTCATTTAGATTATAGCATGACTCTAAGTCTTTAGTACTGAAGTGTTACCTTTTTCATTCCTGATAGTGAACAGTGGCTCAGATGTTTGTAAAATGTTATCAGAAGTTGTGATTACGTCAGTTCTGGGTGCATGCTAGTGAGAATAGCTGCAGACTGTGATAGTGACTGAACAGAAAGAAGAGTATGTGCATTAGATGAGGAAGAGCAAACTAGGAAGGAGATGGGAGAAGGTGGATTACTTCAGTTAGTATACTAGTCTGAGTGAAGCATATTAGAACTCATGGCCATGCTTCAGTCCAGCTCTTTGAGGCAGTCATGCTGGGTGATATTCTGACCTTCCTACGTGCTCTCCCACCCTGTGGCTATTGTGAACTAGGGCTTTGTGGTGGAAATACTTTGAATATTGACAATTTCAGCAAGGGTGACTTCCATTTCCTAGCTTAAAAGGCTGAAAGAAAAGAAAAGAAAAGAAAAGAAAAGAAAAGAAAAGAAAAGAAAAGAAAAGAAAAGAAAAGAAAAGAAAAGAAAAGAAAAGAAACCAAAAAAAAAAACCCCAAACATACCAAAACCCTCCTACCCCAGTGTTTTAAACTCACTGCAAAACCTTTAAAATGTCTTCCTGTAGCAGATATTGAAAGAGTGGAAGCAGACCACAAATTGTTTGTGTGTGGCTACTTTAAAAAATATGATGGTCTGCCCAGGTTAGATACCTACTTTCTTATCCTGCAGATACTGGTTGAGGCGAGGAGGGAGAAGAATACTTTTGTTTGTGTCATGAGGGCTTCCTTAAGGAAGCAGAAGTTACAGTTGTTAAAAATGCAGTAGAGCATTGCGTACTAGTGCTATACTCTAGAAAATGAATTGGTCGCAATTACTTTGCCTTCCTTTCCCTCTGCAGTGAAGCCTTGAGGGAAATACAATTTCAGAGGGGAATTGTCATGTTAAAACTTAAATTCCTCCTCATTGCTGTGGGATGCTTAATCTTGGCTGGGGAAGTATCTGTAAACTAAAGAATAACCTTAAAAAAAACCCAAACAACTTGCACACTGGCTAGCTACCAAGTGGAGATGACTTTAAAAATACATATTTTAAAAAGGAGACCTGCTGATTGAAAGTGTGATGTTGTGGTTGTGGGTTCTTTGTCCTTCTTATGATTTATGGCCTTTTTGTGCTTTTCCATAATACAAACTTGATTTAGTCTCCTCCTGGTTATTCTTTAACTAAATCTGGGGAGGTACCTTTCCAAGCACTTAATATTGTTAAATACTATAATGGGTTGGGGGGGGGGGGGTTGTTGTTTTGGGGTTTGGTTTTGTTTGGTTTTGGTTTGGTTTTTTTCTTCAGTTCTAGTCAGCTTCTATATAAGGAGGAGTTGTACCTTGTTTAAACATGATTGTGAAGTGTTAAAATGTCAGAATGTGGGGTTATTTCCTGCCTCCACCTTGGCATCAACTTTGTCCTCAGGACAGTAAATTCATCTTGCTACTTTAATGCAAAAATTTTTAAAAATTGCTTGCCTCCAGTGGGTAAGCACCTGAGAACAGAAATGGTCTTAGGAGCAAAGGCTGTGCACTGATCTTAAATTGCTGATTGTTGAAGAGTATGACATTGTAAAATACAATACTGGTCAGCTGGAGCGCGAGTCCTCTTGAGCTGCTCCTTGACATTGAGTTTAACCAGCTCATAGTAGTAATAATAATAATAATAATAATGAACATAGTGATGCTATTTAGTATTATCCAGTGTGGGAACTGACATATTCTTGTCTCCACATAATTTTTTTTATGCTTGATGATGCTTTTTGCTTGTATAATAAACTTATTTCTTTTTAAAATTTTCAAAAGTTGTTCTGCTTTTGTGTTCACAGAGGAGGTGGCGGCGGTGGAGGAGGAGGATGGAGAGCTGTTCAAGACAGGGATCAGTTTTACAGGTACAATTGGAAAGCTTTCAGTGTCCAGTCAGCAGTGGAAATATTCTTATACATGATATTTTTTGAGTATTCTATGAATCAAGTCTAGGATATCTTTAAATACGTTAACAGACACTGGGTGGATACTGAGCATAGCAGGTCTTCGGTGAGCAGTGTAATTAATTTCAAGGGTTCCCTTGTCACTATGTAAAGGGTTGAGGCAAGTACAGGGATATATATATATATATAT